TAGTTTTGGTGGGGGCTTGGCAAAAGTGTCCGGCCAAGCCGTGTGTCCGGCCAAGCCGTGAGGTACGTTACTGCTTAGAGCAAAGTTCGCCGGCTGTGCCCTCTTATAATCCTTCCTCAACCCCACCATTCTTATTCTACTCGGCCGTACTGCTCTTCTACCAGCTACACCCCAGCTGAGTCTTGTGTAGATTCCTCGGCGCATATGTGGAGTGGTGTCACATGGCAGTGTAACTCATGATAAACGTATGCGCTCATCTCATCCGATGGCTTGATCTGAGACGATTTGTTACTTTTTCCTGTGAGTGGAATTAAGCGATTGTTGTTGTTGATGATGTGTTGTAGTCGAGATGATAGTTCCTTTGACAGGTCGTCGAGCATTATATAGGTGGTTTATTGGGGAGTGTAATTGTTCGCCAAGATTACCTCATAAACGGCTATCGCTTACCGCATTTGAACGAGACCGAGAAGTCACCCCAAGCTACCAAAACAATTTCCGAATCAACATTTAACGATGAGTATATTAAGTGCATCCATCTAGGAGCGGCGAACTATGCTGGAAAATAGGTTTACAAAAGGGTAAAACGAAACTTAAGATCCCGGTCAATTACGCTTCGTTGCTCATGCCCAATCCCAAAAACTCGAATAATATAGGGTTTCCTGCAACAGCTATATAAGCAATACCTGATGTACGTTAGTGGTGTGCTTGTAAGTAGTCGTGATTGACATACCGGTATAAACGATCAGCTTCGTTACAACTTCGACGTCGTAGCGTACTCGTGGCTTCGTAAGCATCATGAAAATCTCGCGCTTCTCATTCTCCTCTTCAGACGGCTCGTGTACAGTTTTGCAGACACCGCCTGCAGTATCTGTATCACTTTCTGGTGGTGTCACAGTGTTGGTCTCGGGCAATTGCACCTTACCCGTGCCCATCATCTGCTCGTATGAATGGACGCGAGATGCCATTGGCGTTGGCAGGAGGCGTGCACCAAGGAGCGGGTCCGATTTCTCCGCATTGGGTGTGTCGGGCATCGCTGGGCTTGGAACCCATGTAGAATTCTCTGGAACGGCACCATCTAGCGAGTTCACACTTTCACGGCGCCTGCGGTTGCGGTACGCAAGCGTCTCATATGCATCTGCAGCGGATTGAGGACCAACTGAGACGGATCGCTTGCGCGGCTGAGCGAGATTCTTTAACATATGTGGTAGCTCTGATGCAGGCGGAATGACATTATCGTCATCTGCAAAAGGTTTGATCGAACTGTACTTGGACGCATTCAAGAAGAATGCGCGAGGCATGTTCCAGCGAGCCTGTTCAAGCAGACGGAAGATTGGAGGCAGTATGGTGAACAGGGCAGGCTTCATGGTTGCTCTCCAGACGAAGATGACAACGACGCCCAAGAGAATGCGAATGGTTGCTTTGAGCAAGCCCATCTCGTGCAAGTCGAAGGGCACCGAGGAGGGATATGCATCTTGCAGGGCATAACCCGTTTGGGCATAGTGCCAGGCACCAAGGTTTATGCCTATGACGACGCCAGCGAATGAGACGCTATCGTCGTAGCAGGGGCAGTCATCGGCAGGCTCCGGATGGACGCGTACAAGAACACAAACTACCAATGTCGCGATGAAAATGTGCAATGTGCTCCCACTAAAGACCCACGAGTCCATCCAGTCGCCGTAGACGAGCTGGAAGGCAGTGATGAGGGCGCCCATAACACTGCCCACTATGACGTCGAGAAATCCGTGCATGCCGCAGTAGAGGCGGCCGGCTATGATGGACAGTGCGTAAAAGTAGAAAAGGGCCTGGAGGCCCATGTTGACATTAGGGTTGTCCTGCTGGGCCGACTGGCGCAACGTGTAGATGGCATAAAAGGCCACGGAGACGGCATTGGCAGAGTGCGACGAGGGGAAACCGTATTCGAGCGCAGCCGAGCCCGACATGGAGATGCGGGCGAGAGGAGGTGAGAGGGGGCGGGGGAGGCAGAGCAGGTCCTTGAGGAAGCCGGTGCTGTAGACACCAGCGGCAAGCATGAAGACAGTCCTGTGCACGTCAGACATGGCAGCGCAGTCAAAGACAACAGCGCACGACATACGCTCGGCCAACACTGGTGTAGCCACACCAGAACTGGATGGGCAGGAAGACCATGAAGAAGGTGTGGGTGCCGAGGTTTGCGGTATAGGCAAAGTAAGAGTCGAGGAAGGGCGAGCGCAGCTTATCCTGCAGTAAGGCCAGCCACGGGGTCTCCCAGCGCACAATGGGGATGAGGCGGTTGCGCAGGGCATTGCGCCACTGGGGGAGCTGCTGGGCGTAGTGGTCGTGGCCCTTGTTGCCGGCGTCCAGCTTGGGTTTTGTCATGGCTGGCGGCGCCTCATGTTGCGGAGGCATAGCGGCAACGGGCGCAACAGCGGCAGCGGGGAAGAGGAGGAGGAGACGAGGGAGCCGGGCGCGTCAGTCGCTTGTGCATGTCCAGGCGATTGATGCTGCGGCGGGCGGCGGTTTAGTTGTCGTCGTCGTCGTATGTACTTGCAGCCTTGGTGGTAGTGGTGGTGGTAGTGATAGTGGTGGAGTTGGTGGTGGTAGGGCTGTGCGCCCGCCGTCTGGCAGGCCACGGAACGAGCGACCAGGACAGGCGGGCGTTGACACTCGGCGCTAGCTTAGCGAGCCGCTGGCGCTGTAGCGCGGTTGCCATATGCGACCGAGTGCTGCCAACAATCAACATGCGCCTCTCTTAAGCCCCGACCACTCGCTCCCCACACGCTCTCCCGCTCCAGCTCTGCTCTGCTTTGTTCTGTGTGTCTTCATTCATACCCTCTGCCTGCTCACCATCCCGTGCAGCACCAGCCAGCCCGCCTGCCCACCACCACCACCTCTGGCGAGATACCACCGTATATACCCCATACACACAATGGCCGCCACCTCGCAAAACTACGACTACCTGCGGCGCAAGCAGAGCACAAAGTCGCCCGTATCATCAATGGGCCCTGTCCGCGGCCATGCCCGCACCCCCAGTGAGCGCAACAGCAATGGCACCGTTAGTTCATACGGCACTACCAACACGCGCGACACAGCAATCACCGAGCCACCCGCATACTCGAAAAAGCTCGTCGTTGTCGGCGACGGCGGCTGCGGAAAGACGTGCTTGCTCATCAGCTACAGCTCCGGCAACTTTCCAGAGGTATGTCAGCAGCGACAGCACCACCATCATCATCAATACAGAGACTAATGCGCCCCAGAAATACGTGCCCACCGTCTTCGAAAACTACATCACCCATACACCCCATCCGCCGTCCGGCAAGATGGTCGAGCTGGCCTTATGGGACACGGCTGGCCAGGAGGAGTACGACCGGTTGCGCCCTCTCTCCTACCCAGAGACAGATGTCATCTTCGTCTGCTTCGCAATTGATTGCCCAAATTCGCTAGAAAACGTCATGGACAAGGTAAGAGAGCTAGCTGAGCCAGCACATCCATGCATGCACTGACACGACTCAGTGGTACCCCGAGGTTCTCCACTTCTGCCCAACCACACCGCTCATGTTGCTGGGCCTCAAATCCGACCTGCGCAACAAGAAGAACTGCATCGAGCTCCTCAAGACACAAGGCCTGACGCCCGTCACCTCGGACCAGGGCCGTGCCGTGGCCGAGAAAATGGGCGCCGTCTACATGGAATGCAGCAGTAAAGAACAAGACGGTGTCGAGGAGATCTTCGACATGGCCGTCACCATGGCCGTTGGCGACGAGCACAAAGAGCAACAAGACCGCCGCCTCGGCACCGCAAACTCAACATCAAGAGGGAACACAACGACACCCATCCCCGCTGGCGGCGGCAAGAAGAAGAAGCGCAGCGGCTGCACCGTCTTGTAATCTCCATATGACGACGCTGGACGATACGATCAATATGTTTTAATGACCACACGCTGCCCGCCCTCCCTCACTGTCTTGACATGTCTCTTCCTTCCAACACATCATGGTCGAGTCTTTTCATGTACATGGTTTGGGGGCGTTTTTGGTTTTTCTTTGGCATGACAATGGACATAGCGAGTCCAAACGCCTACAATATCATTTTCCCTTTTCTTGTATCTGTATTCGGTATTTAGTATGAGCGCATAGCGAACCTGCTTTCTTGGCTTTGCCTGCGCCCAGGGAGTAAATGAAGCGCAGTCTTTTTTTTGAACCATGCTCGATTTCCAGCCCTATGACAAGCATTTTACTAGTAGTGACTTGCTCAGGGGTATCATTGCATCATCTTCCCGTAACGCCTTGTTCAGGTTTATATGAACCATTCACCGTGCGCAACGCTACGCCGCGTCTTGTCGAGTCCTCGTCATATTATCAACAGGGGTCCTCTGCTCTTTCATTTTCTCTCATCGGGCACCTCCGTCTCACCCTCGTGCTCGGTGGCCCCCTCTTGCGTGCTTTCCTGCTGCTCGTTGGGGTCCTTGGCCATGACGTTCTCAAAGTGACTCCACAGCGACTCGACGGGCGCGAATTCGTTGCCGACCGACGTGACTTCTTCGAGCGAGCGGTTGAGTTTGTTGATGTTTTGCAAGACGACTTCTAGGCTCTGCGACCATAGTTAGCACGCAAGCGCTAGATTGTTGCAGCGACATTGGCGGGCCACAATGTCGGTGTGCAGACCGGAACATTGAACGCACTTGAGCAATCTCCGTCACCAGCATCTCGCGCTGCTGCTCGTAATATGTCTTTGGTGCCGCTGCCTCCTGGCCATTTGTAGATCCTACAAAATACGGTGGTGCCATGATGCTGCTGCCGCTGTGTTGATATGTCAAAGGCGAGCCTGTCGCGTCCGTCTCCGGTGTTGCGGGGACCTTGCCCTTGTCGCGCTAGCTAAGCGAGGCTGCTGAAAAGTCGAGCTTTACCTTTAACTCTTTCCTTTCTCCTCACGACTTTCACGATGAAACCTCACAAGTGACAGGTAAGCAAAATCTTTTTTCGTCCTTGCTTTTTGCGCCTTATATGATGAATACCCAATAATCTGTCAATCCCCTGACTCCCACAAGATGGGACCATGGTGAACCAATATTGTATTCACACTCTGATCCTCTAGCCAACTCAGCGTCTCACCTCACCGCTACATTGACCTATAAGAAACTGACCTTTGCCTCGCTTCAGATCACACAATGGCGCAAGCGCCAGCAACCAACCCAATCAAGGAACCATTTCCCATCTCCCTCGTCGGTGGTCGCTACCTCCTCTTCGATGTGGACGTCATTGCGCACTGCCGTCGCGCGCACAACATCTGCGGACTCTTGGTGGGCACGATCCCGAACCTCAGTCAGCAAAACGTTTTTCTGGGCGTACCGCTGGAACTTATGCCGGAAGAGGCTCGGGTACTCGTCGATAAAGGCGCTGCGTATATCGTGGATGATGCGCAGTTTCATGAAGAGAACTTTGCGAAGATGAGCAGAGAGGACAGACTCAGGTACATGGCCGAGATGGATAAGAGAGGAGAAGAAGTGGCCAAGGAACAGAGAGAGGCTGCAGAGAGGAGGAAGGAAAGGGCCCTGCGCGACAAGGGTTTGAAGATAGACGAGGGTAGTCTTGCTGCAAGCTCGGTGTCTGAACAAACGCTCAAAGTGGATGACTCAAGTCTCTCAGGCTCTGGTCTGGGCTTCATCATGAAAGGATCGAGCTTCTCCGACTCGTATACGCCAGTGGAACTCACCAAGGTCGACCCGAGTCCTAGTATCATCAGCAGTTCCAGCCCTGTTAGCTCAGAAACCAGCACTTCTGATCTTGCGCACTCTGGTCTTGGGTTCATCATGAAGGGCTCAAGCTTCTCGGAGTCGTGGGTACAGGTCAAACCACCAAAGGTTGACTCTCCTGCACCTGCGCCTGCGCCTGTGCCTGCTCCTACCTCGGCCCCTGCACCCGAAGAGTCTCTCTTCGAACCAGTGTCTGTTCCTTCTGAACCTGAACCGTCCACCAAGGGCAACACTGTGAAAGGTGTTGCAGGTCAGAAGCATTTCGTCACGCCTACGACCTCAAATCCACCCCTGGAGACCCCCGCTAAGGAGACTGCGGCCCCTCCCCCAAAGGTACCGGACAGTTACCCATTGTTCCGGTATCTGCACTCCAAAGGCTACTATCACATGCCTGGTCTGCGCTTTGGTTGCCATTACAACGTGTACCCTGGCGACCCACTTCGCTACCACAGTCACTTTGCTGCGACGGGTCTGGGCTGGGACCAGAAGTTTGAGCTTCTGGACGTAGTCGGCGGCGGGCGTCTCGGTACAGGAACGAAGAAGGCCTACATGATTGGCGGTGAGGATCCAGAGATAGACGCGAATGAGAAGGAGCCCGTCAGAGCCTTTTCCGTCGAGTGGGCGGCCCTCTAAGTGGCATCGCCGAGGAATAGGCCGATGAGGATTATGATTTTACGAATGCAATGCTAGACTAGAAGAAAAATAAACCCCAGTTCAATGTACATTGCTGTCCATCTTAGAACTTTCGAATTACTTGTGAACATGCACAGAGGATTCAATAGTAACAGTACCATCTGCGACTCTTGCTGTTGTAGATTCAGCTTGCGTGGTGATAGGATCACAGACCAGGTACAAAGTATCAAGATAGAAAAAACATGCCGCGGCCTGTGGTTCCTGCAGATGCGATCCACCAATAAGGCGAGTGCAGTTTGACCCCGCTAATCGACCCCACGCGAGCGGTTTGCCAAAAGTTCGTGACACTGCATGCCGTCCTATGCGCCACACCACAACAGCGCCATGGCTTTGCATGACTTGTTGGGACAGCTGCCCGCTGGTAAGTGTTTGAAATTCGATTCTGATATCCAGTCCTGACTTTGATTTAGAGGTACTCCTCATCTGGCACGACCATCGGCTTCCTATTTTGCTCTCAGCGCTCGTAGTAGCGACAATTGCGCGCCTCATTATTTACTCGCGCGACCGAAGAGAGAAGCTACCGAAATCGCCCGTGCCTCAGTCACCTATCGAAAAGCAAAAAGTCGAGCTCAAGCCTGAATGGCTCCCAGAATACACCACGACCCTCACGTCTCCAGATCTCAATGTTGATAACCACGCCGAGGATGACACAAGCGCTGTGGTCGCGGCCACAAAAGTAAAGAAGGGGCCCAAGATGGTCAAGGGCAGGAAAATACCGAAGAAGAGCGTAGCACCAACCCTGACCTTCGATCACAAAACGGACAAGATACAGCCCCTGGTCTTCTTTCAGTCGCTTTCAGGTACAACCGAGCGCTATGCCGCACAATTCGCAAAGACAATCACAGAGTGGACGACTGGCTGTGACCAAGCTTCTTCTTTCCTCAAACCTCAGACCCACGATATTTCGTACATTGAACACGATGACTATTTTATAACCCCACCAAAGGCCGACCCCAACGTCAAGTATTTCTATATCATCCTCATACCCACCTACAACATCGATACCGTCCTGGATATATTTATTGAGAGTCTTCAAGAAACACACAATGACTTCCGTATCGATACAGCGCCATTGAGTGGGTTGCTTGGATACTCCGTTTTTGGGTTTGGAGACAAGGAGGGATGGCCAACAGAAGAGGAAGGCTTCTGTAGTCAGGCTAGGGAGGTTGACAAGTGGATGGCGAGATTGACGGGCAGAAAGCGAGCATATCCTCTTGGCATGGGTGATGTTAAAGGTGATGCAGAAAAGCGATTGGAAGAATGGAGAATTGGAGTTCAGGACGCGCTGGTCGAGCTTGCTGAAGGACGAGGACTTGGTGAGGGTGTACCAGGTAGTGGTGATCCTGCTGAGAGTGACGAGGAAGATGTGGATGACGCTGAAGAGGGAAATGGTCAATCTTCACGAGTTGACGACGTCGAAGACTTGGGCTCCATGGTTAACTCTTCGTCATCGCCGATACCCATTGATTTCACAACCTATAAGAAATCTGCGCCTAAACTCAAATCCGCCCCTGCTCCAAAGGAAATGGTCCCCACTACTTCTCCTACTCATGCTGCTCTCACAAAACAGGGTTATAGTATTATCGGCTCGCATTCCGGTGTCAAGATTTGCCGATGGACCAAATCTGCACTACGCGGTCGGGGATCCTGCTACAAATACTCCTTCTACGGCATCGCCTCGCACTTGTGTATGGAAGCAACCCCATCTCTATCTTGTTCTAACAAATGTGTCTTCTGCTGGCGACACGGCACAAACCCCGTCGGCACGACCTGGCGCTGGGTCACAGACGCCCCCGAGATGATTTTCGACGGCATCACAGCAGCGCACTACAAGAAGATCAAGATGATGAAGGGCGTCCCCGGTGTACGAGCCGAACGCTTCAGCGAAGCAATGCGAATCCGGCACTGCGCCCTAAGTCTCGTTGGCGAACCCATCTTCTACCCACATATCAACGAACTCCTTGACATCATGCACAAAAACCGCATCTCCACATTCCTCGTCTGCAACGCGCAGCACCCGGCCCAACTCGCCTCGCTCATCCCCGTAACCCAACTCTACGTCTCCATCGATGCCTCCAACAAAGACAGTCTCCGCAAGATTGACCGACCCCTCCACCGCGACTTCTGGGAGCGCTTCTGCGCTTGCCTCGATATCTTACGTAACCGCCGCTTCGAACAACGCACTGTTTTCCGTCTCACGCTCGTAAAAGGTTTCAACATGGCTGAGGAAGTACGCGGCTACGCTGATCTCGTCGAGCGCGCGCTGCCTGGGTTTGTAGAGGTAAAAGGTGTAACGTACTGCGGTACGTCTGCTGCGGGGTCCGCGGGACTCACGATGCAGAACGTGCCGTTTTACGAGGAAGTTGCAGAGTTTGTCACCGAATTGGAAAAGGAATTGAATAGTAGGGGGCTACAGTATGGTATTGGGGCTGAACATGCGCATTCGTGCTGTGTTCTTTTGGCGGATCGGACACGCTTTATGAGGGACGGGCGGTGGGCTACTCGGATCGATTTCGAGCGGTTTTTCGACTTGAACGAGGGGAAGGTACAGGGAACGCGTGTGGATGACGGCAAGGTCGTGGGATGGAGGCCAGAAGACTATGTTGGTGATGAGACGCCTGAGTGGGCGCTTTGGGGTAATGGTGGATTTGATCCCAGAGATGCGAGGGTATATAGGAAGGGCAAGGGGCCAAAGGCAGAGGCGGAGAAGAGTGAAGGGCAAGCGGAACAGACGAAGAAGGTGGCTTTGGAGTTTTAGATTGTATAGCTAGAGATAACTTGCGAGTAGAGCAAGAAAAGGAGTTAAATAAAAGAGTTGATATCTTGTCATCTATCGAAGAGTAGTTGTAAGGTATCATGAAAATTAAAACGTAGTTACATGTCTCAAGGAAAATATATTGGGAAATCTAAACCATACGGATATCATAAAACGCCAATTTTTTTTTTAAAAAAAACCCCCCCACTCATATCATCATGCTCGCTCAAAAAGAAGCGGCTCCTTCTCATCCGCACTCAACCTCTCCTCGCTCTCACCTTCCCCCCTCCACTCCTTCAACCCCGCATACGTGCCCCCCTTAACAATCTCCTTTGTCTCGCCCACCGTCCCAAAACAACAATGCTCGACCTTGCCCAACGGCCCATCCCTCGGATCATCCTCAAGCAACACGCCAAACCGCAGCTTCGTCTTTGTTAGATCCTTGGGAAACGGGTCGCCACCGAGACACGCACCCACGCTTAGATGGTCGAGAGTAGGGTTTCGCGTTGTAACCATGATACGCGAGAAGAGGACATCGGACGCGACGCCGTTTTTGTACAGGGACCATGCGCCGACGAGGACAAAGGCGAAGGTGATGGCGATGACGATTGCGTAGCCGATCCAGAGGGATTGCATGTAGTAGACGTATACCATCATTGTGCGAGATTTCCCACAGGGCGCGTTTTGCGTTTCGGCAGCGACGAGGTTGGGGTCGCTGAGCAGGGTGATGATCATGTCTTCGAAGAGGTCCTGCATTTCTGTTTTGAGATCGACGAGCGGGTACGATGTGGTGCTGTTTGCGAGGCGGGTTTCGGAGAGATCGGTGTAGGTGATTAGGACGTTGTTTTTTTCGATTTTGCCGCGGAGGAAGCGGCGGAGGAGCATGCCTAGCGTGTGGTAGGTACTTGCTACTTTGTATTTTCCTACATCGTCGCTGGGCCGGATGAAGTTTTGTGCAGGAGAGGCGGTCCAGTCGTTTTGTTTCTCGTCCCATTGGACGGTCGTATCAACGACTGGAGCAAGGAAGTCGCGCTGTTTGCGTGTGGCGTTCTGTCGGGGGCTATAGTCCATTTCAAAAGTGTAGTTGGTATAGTGCATGACGCATTTGAACATTCTTGGTTCGTGGACGGTTTTCCATGTCTCGTAAAAGGGCGAATCAGGCGCGTATGGCTGGTAGGTGTTGATTGCGTAGCCTATCCAGAGATCGGGTTCGCTCTGGATGACACCCAACATGTCGCCTTTGCTTTTCGGATCCTGGTAATGATAATCGCCTTGATCTACATCCGCGTAGTAGGTAACGTTTCCTTTCGGCGCAAGTATGTCTATTGAGAAGGGAGCCTTGGCTTTGTCGGCATCGCTGAGATCATCGCATTTATATCCTGGACCCAAGAAATTGATCGAATAAGTGCAGTTCCAGCCTTCGCCGCAAAAAGACATGGCTGCGTTCTCGCGGGATTGTGGCTTCTGCATGTAGACGCTGCTAAAGGCCAGGCGCCGAGCGGTCTTGGAAGGCTGGTCATAATAATCAAACCAACCAGGCTGTTGAGCTCTGATATCCGTTGTATTGAAAAAGCTCAGAGATTTCTTGTAGAAAGATTTTTGGTCTCGAAAATCGTAATCTGCTTCCTGGCCAAAGTTGAGGCTGGCTACCGAACACGTTCCGTTCTCATGCAAGGTACTTAGTTGAGAGGTAAGTGACGCTGGAGAAAGAACAGAGGCCAGAGGTATCAACCTTTTCGTACAGGTTAGCAAGGTCAGCTTCTTAATGACCACTTGACTTACCACGTGCAAGCGGCCATCAATGTTGCAAGCTTGCCATTGCGGGTCATTTCCCAGTTCATGAAAAATTGCGTGGGATCCTCTGTTGCCGAAAACAAGCCATCGATGCCCTTGATTGTCATGGCTTTCCGTCGAAACGTATACCAGATACGTTGACGATTGCACATGATGACGCACCCCGCGAGCGTACTCTTAACAAAGAAGGCTAGTGCTGTGCCGTACCTGACCATCTTCAATTGAGCTGTAGCCGGTTTTCCGTCAAGATATGAATAGAACAAATGGTGGCCCACTGCTGCAGCAAAACCAGCCAGAAAAAGCGATATTATCATCGCAGGAGTGGTCCAGTATATGTGCCATTGAGCTAATTCGCCCGATCTCCGGTCTAGTATAGCCTGGGTATCGGCATCTCTCGACGTGCTGTTGTATAGCGCGCGGTTTATTGTATACGACGACTCTCTCTTTGACTGTAAAGAGGGCCCCAAACTAGAGTTTCGCCCATGAACGGGTGCATACTGATCATTGCTCTGTGCAAACCCGAACACTGACCGGGGATGTAGCCCATTCCGCATGCCTTCATCCGAGTCGTGGGGTGGAGAGCGCCCACGGGAGCCATACGTGTCGCTATCGTCGAGGGACGGTCTGGATAGGTGGGCAAGTTCGATGGGGTCGTTGTCTGCATGGAAGGGGTCGTAGGGCTCGGGCCGGGTCTGTGGGGATACATCGCGCGACGAGTCGCTGGATGAGGGTTCTAGAGAGGTCATGGTAACGTGGTTCCTCGGGACCTTGGGCTATGGCGGGCGAGGCTTGTATCATAAACTATGTAACGAAGCTAGAGTGTCGAGCGACAAGTTGCACATGCATTATGACACGCTCGCACAGCATTCTCGAGCTGAAGGGGCAGCGAATGCCTAAGGGCCGATTTCGCTTTTTGTGGAACCTGGGGAAGAAAACTCTATGGCAGTCGACGCTGTGCGCGAAGACGATTGCTGCCTCTTTATGCGCGGCGTTGTCTGGCTGTGGTGCTGCCAGTGGACAAAGGTCGGGGCGTAGCGGATGACGGGCCAATGCTCGGTCATTGGTAGGCGATCACACACTAATCATCACTGCGCCTGAGTGGCTTAAAGCTGGATCTCTTCAGGGAGCTGAGAGGCAGTCTGCTCGTATTTAGCATACAATTGTGCCACAATCGCTTCCGCCACCGTTGTTGTTCGCTGCATGCTCGTCGACGCGTATTTTCGTTGACATGATGCTTGTTTTCACCGCCAAGCGCCACGACGGGACAGCCTGTTCTCCACCAAGGTCATCAAATATGATAGGATGAGACGTTTCAGCCGAGATTGTATGTGTCTGGAGGACAACACTGGGAGTGCGCTGTTTGATAACCGGCTCTTGGTCCATGAGAGGCTGCCTTGTTTCCCCGATGTCTGACCCCCGACCAGGTACTACTACAACTAGTGTACACCACACTACGCTCGGGATAAGCAGCCAACGGAGTGGCGGAGACTGACACGCGTCGAGGTTGAACAGTGTATGCTTACTGTGTATGTGGGTATGGAAGGCAATCGAAAGTGGTGCGGGGCATGGCCAGGGCACGACACCACGCGAAAGCATCGCGTCCTTCTTCCTCTTCATCAGACCCACCCGCCGTAAACCCGGGGAGCTTACAAATGCACGTCGAGTAACTATCTCCCTCGCCATTCCACGGCCAGACATGTACAAGTATCTCACATGTCCGAGTCATCTCCGCCTTGACACCGGCCTGGCCCTGATGTCTTCGATTTTCTCCTCACTCGCCGGGGCCGGCAGTTTCTAAGCTACAGTACAACGCGGCCGAAGCGACCAATTTGGGTCTTGGAGATTCCTGATCGGCCAACTCGCCACTTATTTCCTACGCTAAGCACCCATGATACCCGCACTCTACAAGGTTCTCCCAGTTGTGACGTTAGATTGAGTTAGCAGCCATCCTGTTGTTGCGTCACTATCGGACCTTCGAGGACCCCACATCCACATGGCAAGCCCTGTACATATATAAGACGAGAGACCGACATGGCGGGAACGGCATCAAGCTGCTGGTATCCCTCAAAAGACCTAGTATAGCTTCCATACGGTCAAAGTTTATACTGTATAATCATAGTCTGCGCATTTCCTGAATAATCTTTTACGTACAATCAACATGGCACCATCAACCACCAAGGCATGGACCGTCCAAGGAAAGGACGGCTTCGAGTCTCTTAAGTTTAACGAGCAGGCCAAGGTACCTGAGATTGGCGACAAAGATGTCCTCGTCAAGAGTACGTAGCGTGAGCAATTAGCCTTTGTAACAACGCTAACCATGCAATAGTCCATGCCGCATCTCTCAACTATCGTGACCTCATTATCCCCAAGGGCAAATACCCCTTCCCCATGAAGGACAACATTGTCCCCGGCTCAGACGGTGCTGGTACCGTAGAAGCTGTTGGCAAGCACGTTACCCGTTTCCAGCCTGGAGGTATGTACAGATTACGCCAAAGCCGCATCGCCTAGACCAGGATACTAACATTTACACAGACAAGGTCGTCACTCTCTTCAACCAGGGCCACATCGCCGGCTCTCTTGACGCACAATCCCTCAGTACTGGTCTCGGTGGCGCCGTAGACGGTACTCTACGTGAGTACGGCATCTTCGACGAGGCAGGCCTCGTCAAGGCCCCCTCCAACCTCAACATGCTCGAAGCCTCGACCCTATCCTGCGCAGCTCTCACAGCCTGGAACGCCCTCTATGGCCTCGAGTCGCGCGCCCTCAAGCCCGGCGACACAGTCCTCACCCAGGGTACCGGCGGCGTCAGCATCTTCGCCCTGCAATTCGCAAAGGCAGCTGGCGCAAAAGTCATTGCCACCACTAGTTCCGCCAGCAAAGCCGATCTCCTCAAGAAGTATGGCGCAGACCACGTCATTAACTACAAGGAGACGCCAAACTGGGGCGAGGAAGCCGCAAAGCTCACTCCCGGTGGTGCAGGTGTCCAGCATGTAGTCGAAGTCGGTGGCCCAACCACAATGGCACAGTCGCTCAAGGCCGTTGCCATTGACGGCGTCATCACCATTATTGGCTTCATTGGTGGCGGCGGAAAGGACCAGCCTACTTTCCTCGACTGCTTGAACAACATTTGCACCGTCCGCGGTATCCTCGTCGGCTCACGGCTGCAAATGGAAGACATGTGCCGCGCTATTGAGGCCAACGACATCCACCCTATCGTCGACGAGAAGGTGTTTGAGCTCAAGGATCTCAAGGAGGCGTACCAGTACATGTGGGACCAGAAGCACTTTGGCAAGCTTGCTATCAAGGTTGCTGCGTAGAATATATGTAAAATCAATTGCACACGAGTGGGGCCATGTGTATATAAGCCTCTAATGAAGATAATTTTAGCCATTTCAAGCAATGTTTTCATTTCCATGTGGATCGCTATATTGAGCGCGTTGAGCAAAAACTCAACTATACAATCTCCCTTCAAGACTTTGTCCTAACCATTTGTACAAGAAGAAGCAAAAAAAGCAACGCAAAAAGTTCTATACTACATGAATGCTTGGACACCTTCGTTTAGAGTTTCCAATCGAGCCTACTACGTGCCCATCGGACATTCAAGAAGAAAGGCCGCGTTGGGGTGAGAAAATCGGAAGAAGCCTCTGTCGGCCGTGGGTATCGTATGTATGTGTGGGTGGGTATCAATTCGTTCCGTGTCGCCTTCCCGTAAAAAAACGACCGTAACACCGTCGCTATGCGCCATGCTGAAGCAAGAATTTTTTTTCCTGCCATGCTTCCAAACCATGCAATGCTATGCAATCTGAAAAATGAAATTCGTTTCTGTCCGACCAAGCCGTGTCATCGTCTTTAGTCCAGCTCCGTTGTGGGACGTCCGGCGAGCAGAGTAGCTGCGATGCGCTTGCGTGCGTCGTCCATGCCGTTAGTGGCGAGCACGAGCTTTGTATCGTCGCCGCGGAGGAGCGTTAGGGCATTTAGGAGAGTAAAGACGCCACAGTCGCTGCCGTTCAACTGCTGACTGCTGCGCTGAGTCGTGCCCTTGGACCACTCGTCGGCAATGTACAAGTCACCAAGCTCCTTCTGCAGATATTCATCGAGCTTATCAATGTACTTCTGCCCGCTGAGACTCATCGAGTCGAGGTATTCGATGGACCGTTTCTGAGGATAAACAGCCAGTAGACGCCAATGTCCTCGGTCGCAGATGGGATAGAGGATAAGTTTTGCATCCAGATACTGCTTGCCTTTGAGCTGGAACCGGTTGGACCAACGCGATGTATCCGCAGTGCTGTACCAAAATGATGAGAATGCATGGACAGGAGGAGCCGGTCCACCGCGCTTATGCTCGAACCCTGCCTCCTTCTTCTTGGCGGCTACCAGAATCGAGAGATACTCGTTGACAATATTGTCGTTCAACCAAGCCCTGGGGTCGCCATTGAACAGTTGAGGCAGCAGTGTCGCAAAATCCCGCGCATAGAGTTTCTGATCGATGACCCACTTGTCGGCCTTGAGTCCATTGCTGGTATTTGCTGCCGCAGTGTACAGGGTCTTCATTTCTTCTGGAGATAAGGGCGTGATCAGTGGTTTGGGTGGGGGAGGTGGCGGTGGCGCCAACGCGAGCTTGGTCTTGAAATCGTTGTGGAGATCTTGGACAAGCTCGAGGGATAGTGCCGATTCCTCAAGCGAGTCATCAGAAGTGTCAAAGGTGTCCAGAGGGACGCCATGGAAACCACTATCATTGGCATGAGGATCGATTGCTGCGGCCTTGGGACTATCGGCCGCTGAAGACTGGGGTGAAGATGGGGCCGTATCAGATGTGGCCTGTTGATTGCACTGGAAGTTGTGCCAGACTCCCCGTACGGGACTGGAGTTGATAATCTCTAGCGTAGAATCAAGCATATCGCTGACTTTTTCGTCACAGTAGAAAAATTTTGTCCCTGCATGCTTTGCCCATCGTACGGATGGTCTAGGTGGTGCGTCAACAAGAAATGATAGGTCGTTAGCGTATTCGAATTCGGGACTAGCGGGTTGGACGTTGGGTTGGTTAGGCGATGCGTCGATTTTGGATTGGGCCTCCACTTGCTGCGGTGATGACGAAGCATCCGGCAAATAAGAGAGGTCCTGATCAACAGCCGGGGTGGGGGTGATTTCAGTTGGTTCGGACTCGGCAAAACCTTGATCCGCGGATCTTATTGTTGAAGGTTCCGTTTGTCGAGTGGCTTGGATACGTCTGTGTTCTGCGCCAAACTGTATCTTCACTAGTTGACGGCGCAGAGGTGTGACAGAGTGAAGTTTGGTTGCGCGGGGTCCGGTGCGTTGTGGGTTCTGGGCTGTTTCCAGATGTCTCTTGAAGAGGGACGGAGCAGGTTTCTGGGAGACCGGGCGGGCTGACGATTGCAACTGTGGAGGGCCGCGTGACGACAATGATGATAATACGGGCTGCTTAGGCCGAACAGGGGAGACGCGGCTAGCGGGCAAACGAGTCCGCGGGCTATTCCAAGCCACATGCACAGGCGAGCCTGTTTGCGCATTGCGAGGTGGAGTTGACGTGAGTATGTCGTCAAAAGAGAAATCTATGCTGATGTCGCCATCTTCTTCGTCATTGATTTCGGGTTCGGGTTCGGGTTCAGGTTCGTGGCCAGATAGGTGTGCCTCAAAGGCTGAGCTAATGTGCGCGTCTCGCGTTTGTAATGTGGACTGAATGGGTGCGGTTGGTTCGCGATTTTCTTCAGGACTGGCTGTATGGTTTCGGAATTCTGGCTGTGCGAGAGATGTGTGCTTTTGACGTTGGTTCTGGCGACGCGCCTGATTCGCGTGCACGCGTTCTGAAGGTGATGGTGTCGCAGCTTCATCGTCTCCATACCCAGCAGCGACGAAGCGTCTCTTGTTGGAGCCAGAAGAGCTGATGACTGAGATTGCCTTGATTTTTTGCTGGTGCAGAAATCGGTTTGCGATGCGCCTTGGTAGATTGAGCAGGTTTGCGACATTCACTGATGCTACAAGTTTCCCGATGATTGTGAGGACAGAAGTTGGCGCGGGTTCGGGTGCGGCTTCTTCGGCGATCGAAAGTTCTTCAGGCCAAGCGCCCGGCATGTGAAAGGAGGAAGTCGAGGGGGCCATTGCCTGTTGCGCCTGCTATTACTGTGAATCACGGATCGTGCACAGCTGCAATGACGGCTTACCTGCAGCTGGGAAGCGTTGAAGCCATGGGCGGAGTGCGGCGCGTCTGGAGGGGTGCTCGAGAGGAAAGCGCTGTATGAGCGCTTGTTGGACATTGTCGCTGTTGCCGATCGCGGTGGGAGGCGACGATGTGCAACCGTGACACTGGGGTGGTAGAGTGGAGAAAGGACGAGGTCGCGGATGCTGGGCAGAGCTGGCCGGCAGTAGCGCGAACTATAGTTCGCGCTAGTGACACTCACGTGACATACTGTCGAATCAATCGGGGCCTGGAGAAACCATGTTCCAGCGCCGCCCGCCTTGCGTGGATGGAGTGCGTGCGTAGAGTTGATTCACCCTGTATTCCTGTGTTCAAACCCTGCTGCCACGCCTGATATTTGCCTGCACACCCCACAACCCCCTTGGATTCCCTCTCCCACACCCTACCAGTCCACACGCCCTATCGCCCGTACTCGCATCTGCCGCACGTCATTGGTCGAGTTTGAAAGGGAAGAACCCCTCGACAGCTCTACACCACAACACCCGACCACCCCACCTACACCAAACCCGCCGCCCCGCAATCATGGATACCAACATGGAAGACGTCAAGATGCCCGAGCCCATGCAGCTGTCGTCTGCCCCCACGTCTGAGCCGACCACAATTCCCACCCTCGATGGCTGGATTGAGAGCCTTATGAGCTGCAAGCAGCTGGCAGAGAGCGACGTGCAGAGACTATGCGACAAGGTATGCGCTGCTCGCTCGCGCTGAAAAATTGCAAAAGGTTGCGTCTTCTGACATCGGTTGTGCCACAGGCCCGCGAAGTACTCCAGGATGAGTCGAACGTGCAGCCAGTGGTAGGTGCCATTCTCTGCTGCCACCCCCTATATACTCACCATTGCACAGAAATGCCCCGTCACAGTATGCGGTGACATACATGGCCAGTTCCATGACCTGATGGAACTCTTCAAGATTGGTGGCCCCAACCCAGATACAAACTATCTCTTCATGGGTGGGTCCCCTGCCTCACACGCACTGGCTGTATGCTGATTTCCCCAGGTGACTACGTCGACCGTGGCTACTTTTCCGTCGAGACTGTGACTCTCTTGGTTGCACTCAAGATTCGATACCCCCAGCGTATCACCATCCTCCGTGGTAACCACGAATCTCGTCAAATTACCCAAGTATACGGCTTCTACGACGAGTGCCTCCGCAAGTACGGCAACGCCAATGTTTGGAAATACTTTACAGACTTGTTTGACTACCTGCCCCTCACCGCCTTGATCGACAACCAGATCTTCTGTCTCCACGGCGGTCTCTCTCCCAGTATCGACACGCTCGACAACATCAGGGCGCTTGACCGTATACAAGAGGTGCCTCACGAGGGCCCAATGTGCGACTTGCTTTGGTCCGACCCAGACGACAGGTGCGGTTGGGGAATATCACCTCGTGGTGCCGGATACACTTTTGGACAGGACATTTCAGAGGCATTCAATCACAACAACGGCTTGACGCTCGTGGCACGTGCTCATCAGCTTGTCATGGAGGGATACAACTGGTCGCAAGATAGGAACGTTGTGACTATATTCTCAGGTATGATGCTCTGTTCTAACTTGATGGCTTCAACGGCTTACATGTCATAGCACCAAACTACTGTTACAGATGCGGTAATCAGGCCGCAATCATGGAGATTGACGAGCACCTGAAGTATACCTTGTAAGTGTCTGTCGGTCCATCATATACTACAATTCTCTAACTCCTACTCTAGCTTGCAGTTCGATCCTTGCCCACGAGCGGGCGAGCCCATGGTATCACGAAGGACCCCAGACTACTTCCTCTAAACGAACCCATCTGGGGCTCTTGCCTGCAAATCTGAAGACGGTCGCACTTGGGCATGATCCCCAAATACACTGTGTATGACTGCGTTTCTGTTGACAAAAGCTATCCCTGGTTCCGATGCAAGTGCATGACATCACCATGTCCTGTCTGCGATAGGACTATGCGGTGTCTACGGGGAAGCTGAAGCAGCCACGCTCGAGTCGCCTGGAGTGCCCGCCGTACAATACCTTTAGTTATGCCCCTATCGGTGCAGAGCTAACCAATAATGAAACCTGATTGCGCTTCCTACATCTGTCGATTGCATTTGATTGTCGTTGTCTTTGTTTT